TTTGTTTTGTTTTATAAACATGGATATGATATTGCAACAGATGAGATATGAAAAGATTTGGATTGGTTGTCCAAATTGCCGAAACAAAACAAATCAAAAAAGGAAAGAAAAGATTTGGATTGGAAATGAGATACACATCAATGTGGGTCCTTTTCAAGGGTTTCTTTAATAATCGAGAGGTACACAAGTATTTGATCCAGATTAAACTATTAAATGTGACAATTATAATTTTTATAAATGTGAATTTCCAAATTTTAGTTCAAAAGATGAAGACTACAATTACATAAAGAGTATTGGTCACATAAGCATGAAAACAAAGAAGAAAGCAATTTGTGTATCTTCTCAAGCAAAATATGAAACTCTTCTTCTCTGCAACAAATCAATACAGAGTGTTAACAAAAGGGTTGCGGAGAACTCGGTTAATGTCTTTCGCCAACCCGCAAATATCGAGATTTTACGGTACAACTGCCTCAAGAAGCTTCTCATACACTTGTCTAGCAGATAAATCCTCGACCTGGTTCAGAGGAATATAAACCAAAATGGGTAATTCATCCAAATGCGACATTCGACAACATAACTTTATCATCATTTTTACAGGACTTTGTGCCATTAGTAAAGCCAAAACCTTATTGTCTAGAACTAAAAAACCCAATAAGCTTTTCTAGAGAAGAATCTTAATAAAGTCTTCAAAGGAAGGATCAACTTACCACGAGGAGTTTCGATTTGCTATTCCAACCTCTTTGGAGAGTCATCTGGCTCAACCTTAAACCAAGCACCTGAAAGAGCAAAAACACAGAGGTCGTGTTGTGTTAGACAAAAAGCCTCGTTCACATACAAAGCAAGAAACTTTGTGATTAGAGAGAACAAATCTTTCAAAGTGGCTAATAAAGGATTGTTTTGATACCCTTCCCATGAATTCCAATAGCTCGTTGTTAGCTTCCCCACGAGCTGCTGGTGCAGCAACTGTAACACGAACATCATCAGCATTTACCCCTGCAAAGAGAGAAAAAGAACGGTGTCAAGAGAGTAGAAAAATAGAAGATTTTGTGTCAAATATGACTATGTTTTGTACTTGTGATTGCTGAACGTTGTGCACGGTCTTCCACTTCTATTGCAACCTGAACAAGTCCACCGTTGAGCTGTGAAATGCAGGGAGGTACAGGTGCATCCTGTGGGTTAGTTTCTGCAGCAACAGCACTAAGTGCTCCATCAACAATGTAGACGAAGGACGCTGTTTCCAGATTCTCTTCAGCGCGATAAATAACAAACAACTCACAACCGATACAGTTCATTCTAAACTGTCTCTCCATTTTCCCTTCGCCGCTGGTAACAAATAAAACATAAAGAAAGAAACTTTTAGAAAATATCGATGTTAAAACCGCATTTGGTGCTTAAGACTAGCTCATTAACCCTACATAACAAAACTTACCGTTTTAATAAAACTTTTCCTCCCTCACTGACATTCAACCTAGCAAGGTGCTTCTTCTTGTCAAGCACATTTGATTTATCGGTCTTCCTTTTTGGCATTTTCTGCAACTGGGTATCTTGTAAAAAATTTAATTTAGTATACAAGGAAAGATAATAACAGAATATCATCATTCCATATATATTCATCAAGCACAACTTTGCATGTTACACTCTTAATTCGATGTACAACTTGTTTTTTAAGTAAACCTTAGCTTTGAGCCGAAGAGACTTTGTAAGATGCAGTTCTCAAGGAGTAACCAAAAGCAATAAGAAAGATTCCGAACATAAGCAAATCAACAGAAGTACATGTATTGAGCTGCCAAAAGAAAGGCATAGAGAACGTTACAAGTCTAAACACATTCCAAAGTTAGTTCAAAGATTATGAAAATTACCAGACTTTCAACCTGAAGAAACAAAAGCCAGAATCTAAAGCAACAGCAGAAAGTGTAAGCTGCAAACTACCATGGCCTGATTGATTTGATCAATCAAAGGCTGAAACTTTCGATCATCATATTCACACTCAATGAATCTGGAAACTAAAGAAGCAATATCGCAAATCATTCCACATACCCTAATTCGGATCAAAAGCTCAACGAACTCGGTGAAATTGCGGCAA